ATGGATAGAGCGTCGGCCTGGGGACTGGAAGGTCCCGGGTTCGATTCCGGTCAAGGGCATGTACCTTGGTTGCGGGCATATCCCCAGTAGGGGGTGTGCAAGAGGCAGCTGATCGATGACTCTCTCATCGATGATTCTAACTATCTCTCTCCCTTCCTCTCTGTACAAAATCAATAAAATATATATTTTGAAAAAATCAATAAAATATATTTTAAAAATTAAATTTTAAAAAAAGGAGATAGATTGAAGTGGGTGCCAGGGGTCAAGGGTCAGGGAGGTGGTGTGGTTTCAGCTCTTGACCTGCCCGTCTCTCCTCAGGTGAAGGCGTTTGGGCCAGGGCTGCAGGGCGGCAGTGCCGGCTCCCCTGCCCGCTTCACCATCGACACCAAGGGTGCCGGCACGGGCGGCTTGGGCCTGACCGTGGAGGGCCCCTGCGAGGCGCAGCTCGAGTGCCTGGACAACGGAGATGGCACATGCTCCGTGTCCTATGTGCCCACCGAGCCCGGAGACTACAACATCAACATCCTCTTCGCCGACACTCACATCCCCGGCTCCCCATTCAAGGCCCACGTGGTGCCCTGTTTTGACGCATCCAAGGTCAAGTGCTCCGGCCCTGGGCTGGAGCGCGCCACGGCTGGGGAGGCGGGCCAGTTCCATGTGGACTGCTCAAGTGCAGGCAGCGCAGAGCTGACCATCGAGATCCGCTCCGAGGCCGGGCTGCCCGCCGAGGTGCACATACAGGACCACGGTGACGGCACGCACACCATCACCTACATCCCCCTTTGCCCCGGCTCCTACACCGTCACCATCAAATACGGTGGCCAGCCTGTGCCCAACTTCCCCAGCAAGCTGCAGGTGGAGCCCGCGGTAGACACTTCTGGTGTCCAGTGCTACGGGCCTGGCGTTGATGGCCAAGGTGAGAGGCCCCACTGTGAGGCAAGGGGTCTGGGGGCATCTAGGGTGCCCGGAGCCCTCGGAGCCCATGCCTCCTCCTCATTGCCCCCCTACAGGCGTCTTCCGAGAGGCTACCACCGAGTTCAGCGTGGATGCCCGGGCTCTGACGAAAACTGGAGGGCCCCATGTCAAGGCCCGCGTGGCCAACCCCTCAGGCAACCTGACCGAGACCTACGTGCAGGACTGTGGTGACGGCACGTACAAAGTGGAGTACACGCCTTACGAGGAGGGTATGCGCCAGGGCTCCCCGGGGCTGTGGGGCATGCGTGGGGTGGCCCGGGCTCCTCCTCACCCAGCCCCCCATCCTCCAGGACTCCACTCTGTGGACGTGACCTACGATGGCAGCCCCGTGCCCAGCAGCCCCTTCCAGGTGCCTGTGACCGAGGGCTGCGACCCCTCTCGGGTGCGCGTCCATGGGCCAGGCATCCAAAGTGGCACCACCAACAAGCCCAACAAGTTCACCGTGGAGACGAGGTGAGGAAGTGCCCAGGAGGCAGGGGGCATGATGGGCCATGAAACTCCAGGACTAACTGGCTGTCTGTCTGGACCAGGGGAGCTGGCACAGGGGGCCTGGGCCTGGCTGTAGAGGGCCCCTCTGAGGCGAAGATGTCCTGCATGGATAACAAAGATGGCAGCTGCTCGGTTGAGTACATCCCCTATGAGGCTGGCACCTACAGCCTTAATGTCACCTACGGCGGCCACCAAGTGCCAGGTGAGGAGGCAGGTCGGCTAGGGCTGGGCTGGAGCCACCCGCTTGCCCTCCACCCCGTCTCACACACAATCCATCCCTCTGCCCCCCACCCCAGGCAGTCCTTTCAAAGTGCCTGTGCATGATGTGACAGACGCCACCAAGGTGAAGTGCTCTGGGCCTGGCCTGAGCCCAGGCATGGTCCGTGCCAACCTGCCTCAGTCCTTCCAAGTGGACACGAGCAAGGCCGGTGTGGCCCCACTACAGGTCAAAGTCCAGGGACCCAAAGGTGAGTGGCCAGACGCTTAAGAGCAGGAGGTTGGGTCTAGCCAGTGTGGTTCAGTGGTTGAGCACCAACCGATGAACCAGGAGGTCACAGTTTGATTCCCCGTCAGTGCGCATGTGCGGGTGGCAGGCTCCATCTCCAGTGTGGGGGCGTGCAGGAGGCAGCCGATCAATGTTTCTCTCTCATCATTGATGTTTCTCTCTCTCTCCCTCTCCCTTCCTCTCTGAAATCAATAAAAACGTATATATATATACGGTATTTTTTAAAAAGAGCAGGAGGTTGGGAGGATATGATCCTCTTTGAGAGGGAAGAGAGCAGAGTCTTGCCTGAGAGGGGGCTGGGCACAGCTGAGTCCCTGCCGTCCGGGTGGTGGGGCTGAGGGCTCAGGAGACTGGCTGAGGCTCTGTTTGGGACTGGGGCCAGGCCTGGTAGAACCAGTGGACGTGGTGGACAACGCTGACGGCACCCAGACCGTCAACTACGTGCCCAGCCGTGAGGGGCCCTACAGCATCTCTGTGATGTATGGGGAAGAGGAGGTGCCCCGCAGGTAAGAGGCAGCTCCCTGCCCAGCTGGGGGCGGCAGGCTGGGCATCGAGAACCTTCCAAACCACTCACAACGCCCTGGCCTATCAAACAGCCCCTTCAAGGTCAAGGTGTTGCCTACGCACGACGCCAGCAAGGTGAAAGCCAGCGGCCCTGGGCTCAACACCACCGGCGTGCCCGCCAGCCTGCCTGTGGAGTTCACCATTGATGCAAAGGATGCAGGAGAAGGCCTGCTGGCTGTCCAGATCACGGTGAGCTGGCGGCCTGGGCAGCTCCTCGTCCCGCTGGGTGCCACTGCAGGCACAGGGAAGGCCAGGGAAGGTGGCGGCCCAGGCTGGAGCCGTGTGCAGCATAGAGCATGCAGCTGGGGCACTGAGGTCTCTCCTGGGAATGATGCCAGCCCGGGCAGGTGTCCTGTGTCTAGAAGATGGTGACGGGCACAGCCTTCCCCAACCACACACCAGCTCGTGCCTCACTTTGAGCACATTAGCAAAGCCCTTAGTTCCTCAATTTGCCCACTTGTGACATTAGTGCTGGGAAGGCCCTTGGGTGGAGGATGGGAGCCGAGAGGTACTCATGGGGATAAAGCAGAACGGGTGCCAAGATCCCCGGCCCTGCTTGTTCTCATGGGTGACAGGAGCTTTGAGCATTCGGGGGACCTGTCTTCTGGCCCTTGCTAATGGAGAAATAACAAGACAATGCTGGATGCAGGCAGCTATTTGCGGCCATGACGGCTGAGTGACCTGGAGGCTGTTCCTACAGCAGCAGCACCTGGTGCTGGCTCCTTTAAGGGAACCTGAGCCTGGCCGGTATGGCTCAGTGGTTGAGCATCAACCTATGAACCAGGAGGTCACGGTTCTATTCCTGGTTGGGGCACATGCCCTGGTTGCAAGCTCAATCCCCATTACGGAGCATGCAGGAGGCAGCCGATCAATAATTCTCTTTCATCATTGATGTTTCTCTCTTTGTCCCTCTCCTTTCCTCTCTGAAATGAATAAAAATATATATTTTAGCCAAAGAGAACCAGAGGTGATCCTGGGCTGGGCAGGCTTATGACAACCCCCTCTGTCCCCTGTGTTTTGCCACACAGGACCCCGAGGGCAAGCCCAAGAAGACGCACATCCAAGACAACCACGATGGCACGTACACGGTAGCCTACGTGCCAGATGTGACGGGCCGCTACACCATCCTTATCAAGTATGGCGGCGATGAGATCCCCTTCTCCCCGTACCGTGTCCGCGCCGTGCCCACCGGGGATGCCAGCAAGTGCACGGTCACAGGTGAGCCCGCCCGCCATCGGCCACGGCGCTCAGCACGGGGCTTGGGTGTGCCTGTGTGCAAGGACTCGCTGCTTGGGGCAGCGTGTGGGAGTGGGGGCCGCCCCCTGAGTGACTCACCTGACCTTTCTCCTTGCTCTCTGCCCTCTCACCTCAGTGTCAATCGGAGGTCACGGGCTAGGTAAGCTGCTTGCCGGGGCCACTCCCAATGCCCCTCCTGCCCAGAGGGCAGCTTCCTTTCCTCTTCCGTGCTGATTCCCAGGACAGTTCCAGCTGCAGCTCTTGGCAGGGACAGAGGGGGGGGCCGGAGGGTTAGGGCCCAGGGAGGCCTCCGGAGCTGAGCATGAGCGCTCCGGCCCGCCCCCTCTCTGGGCCTCTGTTTCCCCATCTGAGAAGTCGGGTTGCAGCTGAGAGCTTTGGGGTGAGGTGCATCCTGAGAGGCACCCCACTGGGGCCCTGGGGTCTGGGGATCTCGGCACTCCAGGAAAGCCCAGGAGGCGGGCAGCAGGCCCTTCCTTCGTGCTCCCTCCTTCCATGTCAAGGGCTCCTGCATAGGCTAAGGGGACAAGGGGCCTCCCGATGGGCGAGAGTCCCCAGCCCTGGCCAGATCCACAGACCCTCATCCCCACCTCCCAGGGGCCTCGCGTCCCGGGCCGGGGGAGGCGCAGCCTGCATGAGCGGGTGGGGCTAGCTGGTAGTGCAGTAGCGCCAGCGTCGACTGCTTGGGCGGCCAGCATGGCGGGGCCCGGCCCAGCCTCAGAGCCCCAAAGTGCACTCGGTGGCCAATCTGCCCTCCCCGCCTCCTCTCCTACCCCCATCCCCCCAGCAGTGACGTTATTCAGAGCCAGCCCCAGGCAGGGACACCAGTAAGAGGTGATTGCTACTTAGGAGGTTCCGAGGGCTGCAGGCCTGGAGCTAGGGCGAGGGAGCCAGCCCAGGCCCTGGGATCTGAGATGACAGGCATATGTGCCCAGGACAGGGGGACCAGACCTTGGGGACCAGAGGCAGGGTCAGGCCTTGGTTGAGGGAGTGGTCTCGGTTTACCTGGCCACTGTGTGCAGAACAGAGATAGCTGACGTTACTTTTATTTTTCATTTATATTTTTAAAATATTTTTTATTGATTTCAGAGAGAGAGAGGGAGAGATAGAAACATCAATGATGAGAGAGAATCATTGATGGGCTGCCTCCTCCATGGCCCCAACACGGGATCGAGCCCGCAATTCGGGCATGTGCCCTGACCGGGAATTGAACCATGACCTCCTGGTTCATAGGTTAATTTACGCTCAACCACTGAGCCACACCGGCCGGGCTGAAGTGCCTTTTCGATCAGCTGGGGGGGGCGGGGACCAAGTTGGGAGGTGTACTTTGAAGATGGAGCAGCCAAGACTGGCTGATGGGCTGGATAGGAAAAGTGGGGATTCAAGAGTCACTGAGGTGGGGGCCCAAACCACTAGCTAGATGGCGGGTTCAGTCCCCAGTTGGAGAGAAGGGGTGTTGGATGGGAATGAGGTGAGGCCTTCCAGGGCGGAGTGGGCAGCAGGTGGCCAGTTCGGGACCTCAGGAGAGCCGCAGAAGGCCCGCACAGAGCCTAGGGCAGCCTGAGCCCTCGGCCACATGCTCCTGGGGGCTTCCCCGGGCAGGGCCAGCCTGCCTGTTCCTTTAAGCCTTAAAGTTTAAGGCCTCACAGCCCACCACCCCCTGAGCCTCCACGGCTAAGCGCAGGTGTAACGTCACTGCCCCCCCACTTCCCTCAGGCACTCTGGGGCCCTGGAGGCTGCTCAGCTGCTCTGCCCTTGCAACCTAGAGGCGGTGGCTGCGGCTTGGGCCTCCTGTCCCCCTCCCTCCGGGTGCTGCCGCTGCTGTGCGCTGTGCTGCTAGGGCGCTAACCCCGCTGCTCCCCGCTTCCCCGCTCCTAGCTCCCTGCCTGCTCTGGGCTGTGCCCAGCCACCCCTCACCACGAGCCTTTGGTCGAGCGAGCATTCTCAGTTGTCAGGAAACTTTCATTTCCCCTTCAGGCCTGGGTGGGGGGCGGGGGGCGAGTGTCACATCCCCCCACATCGCAGCAGGACCCCGCCTCACCGCGTGCGCACACAGCACTGGGGGCCGGGGCCAGGCCACGGGGCAAAGCCATGGGGCAGAGGCAGCTGTGTGCTAGCCGGAGCACTGGCACTGCTCAGCGAGGTCCACGGCACCAGCTGAGGCTGAGTTGGCACAAGAGGTGGCAGCAAACGCTTGTGCCCCAATGGCAGCAGCGGCCTCACGGGCCTCCAGGCCCGCCCTTCCTCCTAAACGCCTTTCCCACATGGGGGCTGCCCCCAAGACAGGGCTCCCTGGCCTGAGGTGGCTCGAGGGGACCTTTCCTGCCTTCTGAGAAACGACTCACCGTCCCAGCTCGGGGGTCAGGGGCGGGAGGCCTGGCTGTGCTTGGTGGTGGCATAAAAGGCCTGGGCGGGCGGCAGGCAGTGGATAGGAGCAGCCTGAACACCACGCTCATGCCCTGGCCCCCCTCTGGGGACCCGCCCTGCCCCACTAGGTGCTGGCATCGGCCCCACCATCCAGATTGGGGAGGAGACGGTGATCACTGTGGACACCAAGGCTGCAGGCAAAGGCAAGGTTACCTGCACTGTGTGCACACCCGACGGCTCCGAGGTGGACGTGGACGTGGTAGAGAATGAGGATGGCACCTTTGACATCTTCTACACGGCCCCGCAGCCGGGCAAATACGTCATCTGCGTGCGCTTTGGCGGCGAGCACGTGCCCAACAGCCCCTTCCAAGTGACGGTCAGAAGGGGCTAGGGGTGAAGGGTCTGGGGGGGACCCATCCTGAATGCCCCCCCACCACCACCACGGGTTACTCTGTGATTTCAGAGCCTGCAGCTCTTGTGTTTGCTCTGCAGGCTCTGGCTGGGGACCAGCCCACCGTGCAGTCTCCGTTGCGGCCTCAGCAGCTGGCCCCACCATACACCTATGCTCCCGGCGCCCAGCAGACCTGGGTATGGCCTGGCCCGCCGCCTCCAGCTTGCCTAGCTCTAAGGGACATAGGGGGGCTGGCCAGCTGGGTGTTCCATGAGGCCCGTTCTGGCACATGTGAGGAGGGACCCCAAATCTTCCTACTTGGGACTCCCTCGACTCCTACCGCCCTCACTTGGGCCCTCTGTCTCCACTGCAGGCCCAGGAGAGACCCATGGTGGGTGTCAATGGGCTGGACGTGACCAGCCTGAGACCCTTCGACCTTGTCATCCCCTTCACCATCAAGAAGGGCGAGATCACAGGTGAGTGAGAGCAGGAAAGAGCTTGGGAGCCACAGAGGTGGCTGGAGGGGACCGGGATGTGCCAACGGGCTGCCCTGACCCTGTCCCATCCTGCAGGAGAGGTACGGATGCCCTCCGGCAAGGTGGCACAGCCGTCGATCACCGACAACAAGGACGGCACAGTGACCGTGCGCTACGCCCCCAGCGAAGCTGGTCTGCACGAGATGGACATCCGTTATGACAACATGCACATCCCAGGTGTGCCCTCCCAGAATGCCACCCCCGCCTCACAGAGGCCTGGGGCAGCGGGAGGGCTCGGGGGCCAGCGCAAGGCCCCCATTCCACATGGCCCCTCTTCCTGCCTCAGGAAGCCCCCTGCAGTTCTACGTGGATTACGTCAACTGTGGCCACGTCACCGCCTACGGGCCAGGCCTCACCCACGGAGTAGTGAACAAGCCTGCCGTCTTCACAGTCAACACCAAGGACGCAGGAGAGGGTGAGTGGCAGCCGGTTTGGGCCTGTCTGTGCCATGGATGCCCTCAGCCTGTGGGGAGCTGGGTGCAGGAGAGAGACTCCCAAAGGGGGAGTCCCCTACCCTGCCCCCCAGCCCCTGCTTGCCTGTTGGGGCTCTCCCTCATCTCGTACTGGGTCCCGTTCCCGCCCTCACCCACGATTCTCCATAGGGGGCTTGTCCCTGGCCATCGAGGGGCCATCCAAAGCAGAAATCAGCTGCACCGACAATCAGGACGGGACGTGTAGCGTGTCCTACCTGCCAGTGCTGCCCGGCGACTACAGCATCCTCGTCAAGTACAACGACCAGCACATCCCAGGAAGCCCGTTCACGGCCAGGGTCACAGGTGGGTGCCCGTGGGGAGTTACAGGAAGAGGCATGTGGCCTGACTGGCGTGGCTCAGTGGTTGAGCCTCGACCTGTGAACCAGAAGGTTCCCGATCAGGGCACATGCCCGGGTTGGGGGCTCACCTGCAGTGTGAGTCATGCAAGAAGCAACTGATTGGTGATTCTCTCTCATCATGGATGTTTCTATCTCCCTCTCCCTGTCTTTCTTTCTTTCTTTCTTTCTTTTTTAATATATTTTATAGATATTTTACAGAGAGGAAGGGAGAGAGATAGAGAGCTAGAAACGTCGATGAGAGAGAAACATCGACCAGCTGCCTCTTGCACACCCCCTACCGGGGATGTGCCCGCAACCAAGGTACATGCCCTTGGCCGGAATCGAACCCGGGACCTTTCAGTCCGCAGACTGATGCTCTACCACTGAGCCAGACCGGTTTCAGCCCCTCTCCTTGTCTTTCTGACATCAATCAAAATATATTTTAGGCCTTAGCCAGTTTGGCTCAGTGGGTAGAACATCGGCCTGTGGACTAAAGGATCCCGGGTTCAATTCTGGTCAAGGGCACATGCCCGGGTTGGGGGCTCGTTCCCCAGTAGGGGGTCTTGCAGTAGGCAGCTGATCAATTATTCTCTCTCATCATTGATGTTTCTATCTCTCCCTCTCCGTTCCTCTCTGAAATCAATAACACGTGTGTGTGTGTGTGTGTGTGTGTGTTTTAAAAAGGCAGGTGGCAGGGTGGGTGCTGTTTCTCTCTGCTTCTGGACACTCAGTGACTGTCCCCTGCCAGGTGATGACTCCATGCGCATGTCCCACCTGAAGGTGGGCTCCGCTGCTGACATCCCCATCAACATCTCCGAGACGGACCTCAGCCTGTTGACGGCCACCGTGGTGCCGCCCTCGGGCCGTGAGGAGCCCTGTCTGCTGAAGCGCCTGCGCAATGGCCATGTGGGTAAGAGGCTGAGGGACAGGGCCTTCTGGAAAGGAGGGGGGTTGGGGCGGGGCATCCCTTTCCCTGACTGACAGCCCTCTCTGTGCCCAGGGATCTCCTTCGTGCCCAAGGAGACAGGGGAGCACATGGTGCATGTGAAGAAGAGTGGTCAGCACGTGGCCAGCAGCCCCATCCCCGTGATGATCAGCCAATCGGAGATCGGGGATGCCAGCCGCGTGCGCGTCTCTGGCCAGGGCCTCCATGAAGGCCACACCTTTGAACCTGCGGAGTTTATCATCGACACCCGTGATGCTGGTGAGCGATGGCAGCCTGCCCGCCAGGGGGAGCCCCACTATGCTTGGCTCTCTGGCTCAGGGGTGTCCCCTCCACAGGCTACGGCGGGCTCAGCCTGTCCATCGAGGGCCCCAGCAAAGTGGACATCAACACGGAGGACCTGGAGGATGGCACGTGCAGGGTCACCTACTGCCCCACGGAGCCTGGCAACTACATCATCAACATCAAGTTTGCTGACCAGCACGTGCCTGGTGAGTGTCGCGCACGCGCATTTCTCCCTGACCCTCCTGATCGCATCCTAGGGCCCGGATGTAACCTGTGTGGGTGCGGGCCGTGCTTCCATCCTGCAGGCAGCCCCTTCTCCGTGAAGGTGACAGGCGAAGGCCGAGTGAAAGAGAGCATCACACGCAGGCGACGGGCCCCTTCAGTGGCCAATGTTGGCAGTCACTGTGACCTCAGCCTAAAGATCCCCGGTAGGAGCTGTAGGGAAGTGGGGGAGGGGCTGAGAAGGGCTGGTAATCCCGATCAGAAGGCCCGCTCACCAGGCTGTCCCCCACCTGCAGAGATTAACATCCAGGACATGACAGCCCAGGTGACCAGCCCCTCAGGCAAGACCCACGAAGCCGAGATTGTGGAAGGGGAAAACCACACATACTGCATCCGCTTTGTGCCCGCTGAGATGGGCATGCACACGGTCAGCGTCAAGTACAAGGGCCAGCACGTGCCCGGGAGCCCCTTCCAGTTCACCGTGGGGCCCCTAGGGGAAGGGGGCGCCCACAAGGTCCGCGCCGGAGGCCCCGGCCTCGAGAGGGCCGAGGCTGGAGTGCCAGGTAGGCCTGCTTCCTGCCAGCTTCTTGCTTTCCTGGGCAGGGCCGGGGGTTGGAGGGGCTGAGGTCAGGGGAGAGGCGCGCATGCGCGCCACTCACCAGACACTGCTTTGCCACAGCCGAATTCAGCATTTGGACCAGGGAAGCCGGCGCTGGGGGCCTGGCCATTGCCGTCGAGGGCCCCAGCAAGGCTGAGATCTCCTTCGAGGACCGCAAGGATGGCTCCTGCGGTGTGGCCTATGTGGTCCAGGAGCCAGGTACCGAGGGCCGGGCCGGGGTGAGGGGCAGCCATGCCTCAGTGTGGGTGTTGGTCGGGTCTATGCAGACAGTCCTGCTCGGCTCCCCTCCCCACCTTGACCCAGGGCCACTGGGCTGTCCGTGGGAGGCGGGAGGCTACAACGCAGCCCTGTGGGGCCTCATCCTCTGCGTCTCTCCCTCTGCAGGTGACTACGAGGTCTCCGTGAAGTTCAACGAGGAGCACATCCCCGACAGCCCCTTCGTGGTGCCCGTGGCTTCTCCGTCTGGCGACGCCCGCCGCCTTACTGTTTCTAGTCTTCAGGTGAGGCACTGAGAGAAACCGCCCGCCGGGGGCTCCTGGCCCGGCCAGACCAGAGCCAGTGCGCGGAGCAGGCCTCGGCCCCGTGTCGAGTGACCCGCCCAGCCCTCTGCTCTGGCCGGGTGCAGCCCGCGCTTTGGGTTGGCAGGACACACCCCTGGCCACCGCGTGGGGTTTTTCTCGTGTCTCAGGTCTAAAGGCTTTGAACAGAAGCCTGTGCCCCTTGAGCACCAGGGCTGAGGTTTAAAGAGGGACAGCCTGCAGGGGCTGGGTGCTGCCCAGCGGGTGGGGCCGCCCTCCCTTCACCCTGCCCCGGGGGTGTGATTGTGGAGCGCATGCATCTGGGGGGGGCGCGGGGGGCGGGGGGAGCAGGGGTGTATGTCTGAAGCTTGTTGCCCCTCGAGAATCAATGGCTCTCCCTCTTTAAACCAATTTGGACGCCAGATGGGTAAGTGCAACCGTTTGGGCCTCCTGCTCCTGGGACCCCGCCCTCCCTCATTCTGCCCACCCTCTAACCGCCTCTGCTGTGCTTCCAGGAGTCAGGGTTAAAGGTCAACCAGCCAGCCTCTTTTGCAGTCAGCTTGAACGGGGCCAAGGGGGCGATCGATGCCAAGGTGCACAGCCCCTCGGGAGCCCTGGAGGAATGCTATGTCACAGAGATCGATCAAGGTGAGGCCCTGTCCCTGCCCTGCCACCCCGCCACCTGCCCTGGCCTCACTGGGAGCAGTGGGCCTGGCCAGCCGGCGGGAAGCAGGCTGAGAGTACGAGAGGAGGTACAGATTCTGGGAGCAGCCAAGACGGGGCCCACACCCGGGCCCCCTCAGCCAGGCGACCCTGCCACCACTCATGACCCACGCCCCTGGCATCGGGCTCAGCAGCCACGACTGCTAGAAAGAAGACAGCCTCCTGCAGGGTCCGGCGCAGTCTCCTGAAGGAGAGGCCGCAAGTCCAGCCCGAGGGCTCAGGGCCCTTAGCCAGGGCATGGCACCTACAGACAGGCCTGGGCACCCAGGGCTGGGAGAGGGTGAGGGTGTGCATTGCTGCGGGGTAGTTTCACTAGTGTCACAGCCTAGTCCTGCCCCTTCCCAGCTGTGTGGCCCCGAGCCAGTTGCTCGCTGCCTCTGCGCCCCAGTTAACACGCAGGGAGCTAGCTTGGCATTCGTGGTAACCTTTCTTTTGGTTGTTGTTCATCCTCACCCAGGGCTATTTTTCCATTGATTTTTATTTTATTTTATTTTTTAAATATATTTTATTGATTTTTTTACAGAGAGGAAGGGAGAGAGATAGAGAACTAGAAACGTCGATGAGAAAGAAACATCAACCAGCTGCCTCTTGCACACCCCCCACTAGGGATGTGCCCGCAACCAAGGTACATGCCCTTGACCGGAATCGAACCCGGGACCCCTCAGTCCACAGACCGACGCTCTACCACTGAGCCAAACCGGTTTCGGCATTTCCATTGATTTTTAAAAAAATGTATTTTATTGATTTTTTACAGAGAGGAAGGGAGAGGGATAGAGAGTTAGAAACATCGATGAGAGAGAAACATCGATCAGCTGCCTCCTGCACACCCCCTACTGGGGATGTGCCTGCAACCAAGGTACATGCCCTTGACCGGAATCGAACCTGGGACCTTTCAGTCCGCAGACCGACGCTCTATCCACTGAGCCAAACCGGTTTCGGCTCCCATTGGCTTTTAGAGAGAGTGGAAGGGATGGGGAGAGACACAGAGAGAGAAACATCGATGTGAGAGAGACACATCGATTGGTTGCCTCTCACATACGCCCTGACTGGGTCAGGGATGAGCCTGCAACAGAGGGACATGCCCTTGACCGGAATCGAAGCCAGGACTCTTCAGTCCATAGGCTGATGCTCTATCCCCTGAGCCAAACCGGCTAGGGCCATGGTAACTTTTTTAAAGAGGCAGTGAGATGCGTGTTTTGCTTGTAAAAGATTTCAGTCCAGATGAGCCCCGATAGGCTGCCTGGGCATCTACAGCTTCACCTTAAGTTTTAGGGGGTCTGTGCGGGGGGGTGTGGGTGCCCAGCATGATCCATGGAAGAAGCTGGGCTCAGGCTGGCAGGCAAGGATCGCGCCTCACAGTTGTCACTTGCTCGGTTTGTGGGGAGGGACCCAGGTCCACAGCACGCCCCTCTGCTCCTCAGATAAGTACGCCGTGCGTTTTATCCCCCGGGAGAATGGTGTCTACCTGATTGATGTCAAGTTCAATGGCACCCACATCCCCGGAAGCCCCTTCAAGATCCGAGTTGGGGAGCCCGGGCATGGAGGGGACCCGGGGCTGGTGTCTGCCTACGGAGCCGGCCTGGAAGGTGGCGTCACGGGTAAGTCACCTTCTAGGGGGCCCCCATCTAAGATCTCAGTGACAACAGGAGGCACACGAGAATGACAAAGCTGTGCTGCTGGGTGGGCAGTGCGGGGCTGGCGTGGGGTGGGCCAGACCAGCTCTGCCTGACCTCCCGTGTCCCCAGGGAGCCCAGCTGAGTTTATCGTGAACACAAGCAATGCGGGAGCCGGTGCCCTGTCGGTCACCATCGACGGGCCCTCCAAGGTGAAGATGGATTGCCAGGAGTGCCCTGAGGGCTACCGCGTCACCTACACCCCCATGGTACCTGGCAGCTACCTCATCTCCATCAAATACGGTGGCCCCTACCACATCGGGGGCAGCCCCTTCAAGGCCAAAGTCACAGGTGAGCCTCCGCAGCCGACTGCTGGCGCCCGCCTCCGCGCCTGGCCCTCAGCTACCTCTCAGCCCCACCTGCTCTGCCCCACAGGCCCCCGTCTCGTCAGCAACCACAGCCTCCATGAGACATCGTCAGTATTTGTAGACTCCCTGACCAAGACGGCCAGCGTCCCCCAGCATGGCGCCCCAGGCCCAGGTCCCACTGACGCCAGCAAGGTGCTGGCAAAAGGCCTGGGGCTGAGCAAGGCCTACGTGGGCCAGAAGAGCAGCTTCACCGTGGACTGCAGCAAAGCAGGTGGGTGCCCGGAGGGAGCACGGGGAGGAGGGTGGAGGGTGGGGATGTGTTCATTCTGCCTGGCTGGTTAGGTCAGTGGTTAGAGCATTATCCTGATACACCAAGGTTGCGGGTTTGATCCCCAATCAGGGCACATATAGGAATCAACCAATGAATGCATAATTAAACGGAACAACAAATCATGTTTCTTTCTTTCCTCTCCCTTTCTCTCCCTCCCCCCCTTCTCCCTCCCTCTCTCTCCCTCTCTCCCCGCCTAAGTCAATAAATAATTTTTTAAAAAGAAAGGGCTGCCAAAACCGGTTTGGCTCAGTGGATAGAGCGTCGGCCTGCAGACTGAAAAGTCCCAGGTTTGATTCTGGTCAAGGGCATGTACCTTGGTTGCAGGCACATCCCTGGTGGGGAGTGTGCAGGAGGCAGCTGGTCGATGATTCTCTTTCATCAATGTTTCTGGCTCTCTATCCCTCTCCCTTCCTCTCTGTAGAAAACCAATAAAATATATTTTTTTAAAAAGGGGGGGGAGCTGGGGGGTCAGCATAGTTACAACTGAAAATGGGGGTGCTCGGAGCCTGGGACTGAGGCCTTCTCCCCTCTCCCCGCCAGGCAACAACATGCTTCTAGTGGGGGTGCATGGCCCCCGGACGCCCTGCGAGGAGATCCTGGTGAAGCACGTGGGCAGCCGGCTCTACAGTGTGTCCTACCTCCTCAAGGACAAGGGGGAGTACACGCTGGTCGTCAAGTGGGGCGACGAGCACATCCCGGGCAGCCCCTACCGCGTCCTGGTGCCCTGAGCTCTGTGCCTGTGCCAGCGGCGACTCCCAGGACCAGAAGTGTCCCCGTGCCCACCGCCCCCTCCCAAGCAGCCCCCCCTCCCCCCTCCTCAGCCCCGGAGCCCCGGCCAGCCCCGGCCGCCCCGTCACTGCAGCCACCCCCGCCCTGCGCTCACCTGCCTCTGCTTGGGCAAAGGAGAAGGCGAGCGGCGGGAGCCGTTGGTGGCTCCGCCTGTCTTCCTGGGGTGGCGGGTGGGGGCCTGTGCACGACCACCTGCTAGCTCCCTTCCCTAGCCGAGAGGAATAAAGCTCCGCTTTCATTCTCCCGAGAGGGCTCTCGCTTTCTTACAAGGACGCCGACAGGGTGGGTGGCACACGGGCTGCGGCCACAGGCTGCTGAGCTCCAGGCCTGGCCCTGCCTGCTGACCCCACCCCCTAACTCCAGAGGCCCCCTCTGCGCCGGCCGCCTCTGCCTCTCTGGAATCAGATCCATGCAGGGCAAGGGGGTATAGCACCCCCAGAACACAGCCTGGTACACACCGGAAATAGACAGTGTCCTGGGGAAAGGCTGGGCCCTGGCCGGGCAGCGGGATGCCAAGGGCTGGGTGGGAGGACCAGGTAGCCAGCTGGAAATCGCAGCAGAGCCTGGCCATCTAGACCACCCCTGGGGGAAGGGACTGTCGCAAGGTCCTCTGCCCCAACGGGCAGATTGTAGGTCTCTCATGGCTAAGGTGTCCAGACGTCCCGCTTTTGGCGGGACGGTCCCGATTTTTAACAATTTGGGGACGCGGGACAAATTGTTAAAAATCGGGACGTCTGGTCACCTTACTCATGGCCCCTCAGCAGGCAGGTGGAAATATTCGAGGAACTGCTGTCAGCTTCAGAGTTTGCCCACTCCCACCCAACCCCAGGTGCCCTTGTCTGGCCTGCCCTCCCTCCATGAGCACGCTTTGCCATGGCTCCTTGGGGCACTCAAACCCACCACTTACCTGTCCATCGCCTCCCACCCAACTATCTCCCACTCAAAACAACCAGATCTTCCAGGTGCTCTGCCATGGGCAGTGGGCAGCCTCCTCTCCCACTTTAGCGTAAGGGCCCATAAGGCAGCTTTCAGCCCTGCATGGCTCAGTGGTTGAGCAGCCACCTATGAACCAGGAAGTCACGGTTCAATTCCCGGGTCAGGGCACATGCCCAGGTTGTGGGCTCCATCTCCAGTGGGGGGCGTGCAGGAGGCAGCCGATCCATGGTTCTCCAATTGATATTTCCACCTCTCCCTCTCCCTTCCTCTGAGATCAATCAAAATGTATTTTAAAAAACATTGAACTTGCCCTAGCCCAGTGGTCGGCAAACTCAGTCAACAGAGCCAAATCTCGACAGTACAACGATTGAAATTTCTTTTGAGAGCCAATTTTTTAAACTTAAACTTCTAACGCCATTTCTTCATAATAGACTTGCTCAGGCCGTGGTATTTTGTGGAAGAGCCACACTCAAGGGGCCAAAGAGCCGCATGTGGCTCTTGAGCCACAGTTTGCCCACCATGGCCCTAACTGTTTGGCTCAGTGGATACAGCGATAGCCTGAGGATTGAAGGGTCCCAGGTTTGATTCCCATCAAGGGCACGTGCCTGGCTTACGGCCTTGATCCCAGTGGGGGACGTAGCCAATCAATGATTCTGTCATCATTGATATTTCTCTTTTCCTCTCTGATATCAATAAAGATATATTTTATTTATTTATTTTTATATTTTATTGATTTTGTACAGAGAGGAAGGGAGGGAGATAGAGAGTTAGAAACATCAATGAGAGAGTCATCGATCAGCTGCCTCTTACACACCCCCTACTGGGGATGTGCCCACAACCAAGGTACATGCCCTTGACCGGAATCGAACCCGGGACCCTTCAGTCCCCAAGCCGACGCTCTATCCATTGAGCCACACCGGTTTCGGCCAATAAAGACATATTTTAAAAAATCAGCTTACAGAGCTCTTCCGCAGGCATGCTGGCCACACGCCTTCCAGAAGCACTTTGGGGCCAGCATGAGCCCGGAGCTCTGGACACAGTTGCTTCTTGGCTCAGGAGAAACCATGAGCTCAGAGGGAGACGGGGGGAACAATGCAGTGGCCAGTGGCCTGCTCCCCAAGCCTGTGCTGGGGTTCCACCCCCCAATTCTACCCTCGATAGCATGTGGTGGACCCTCGCTGTTACTGCCCTGGGGCGGGACTGCTGCCTGGGCTCTGGGTGGCCAGTCCCCACACTAAACTCTGCCCCAGGGGACGCGGGACACGCCTCAGTGAAGGAGGCCCCACCCCTGGTCCACACTTCCCCCTCCCGCCGTCCTCAGAGGCAGGTGTATTCTGGGGGTGCTGGAAGCCACCCAGCTGGAGGGGGAGCAGGAGGAGGCAGAGCCCGGCCCACACACCTGCAGCACCAGCAGGCGAACAGGCCCTTCTCCCCTCGGCCCAGGGGACCCCAGGACTGCACACACACACAGCACACACCCCCTTCCCTGACACACCACCGCCTCCTGCCTCCTCCTAGGCTGGCCGCTCTAAGAGGAGGCAGTCCCGCCCCCAGCCTCTCCCTAATGCCTGCCTCCTGGGCCCCCATGGAGACGGCTCCCAGCCTCCAGGGGCCTGTCCCCGCCCCAGAGGCCTTGGCACTCCCAGGCAGCTGTGGCACCTGGGGCAGCAAGGACGGAAATGCCCACCTGGGGGAACAGGCCCCGGGACCACCCTGGGCTGCGTCTGCAGGACACAGCAGGCCTGAGCCTGAGCCCTGCCGGGCACGGGCAGGAGGGCCCAGGGGTGGGGGGGCCGCCGCTGGCCCAGGAACCAGAGCGCCACCAGGACCTCCCGCTGCTGGGGCACATGGCCCGGGACCCGGCCGAGCCACTGAGCGAACCCAGACGCCATCCTGGCTGCTGGGAGGACACGGGGAGGGAAGGCCAGGCCAGGAGCCGGGGTCACACTGTGAGAGCCACAGGGCGGCCCCCCAGCCTCACACGGAGCTGCGCACCGGGAGGGGCAGGAGCAGAGGGGAGGCCCGGCCACATGCCCTCCCAGGCTCCCCACCTCACCTACCGAATGGGCAGGAGATGGCTGGTCACCCTATTGGGGCCCGCTCCCCGCCCCGCAGGTCCTGTCTGCCCCGAGTCCAGGCGGGCAGGGCAGGGGGAGGGCTGAGCTGACCCCCACCCCACAGGCAGCTCCACCCCTGCCCCCGCCACACCCCACACCTGCCCTCCCTGATGCCCTCCCCGCAGGGGCTGGGGTCCAGGTGGGAAAGGGGAGCACGGTCCTCAGGGCAGGGCTGCCACCCCCCACGCCAGTGAGGGGGTCCAGCCTGTGAACCGGGAAACGTTGGTCTGGGGGCCCTTGGGGTTCCCGCTGGCCCTCCAGCTGGGCAGCCTCACCCCATCCAGGGCCTGGGGCCCCGGTGCTCAGGGCAGCCCCCTGGGAACCTGGAGGGAGCAGGGGCCGAGGGGGCGCTGACCCCAAGTCAGGGCGGCGGGGAGGCGTGGTGCTGGTGTGACCTGGGCCCTCGGTGCACTCAGTGCCCCAGGACGTTCCCATCCCCGGCCAGGCCCGGCCATCCGGCCGCAGACGGCCTAGAGGCAGGGCCGGTCACACCCGGACTCCTCCTGGGCCCAGGCCTGCCCAGGGGGCCGGCCCTGCAGGAGGACACCCAGCCGCTTGGAGGTCAGGCTGCCGCCGCCTCCGTGACCAGCACGGGGTCAGGGCAGGGCTCCGGGGCCCGGCGAGGCCGCAGCCAGGGGGCAGGGGGAGGACACGGCTGAGCAGCCGGCAGGGCAGGGGCTACCCTGGGGTCAGCACAGCTGCTGGCGACGAGGGGGCAGACGTCCGTGCTCAGGGTCAGGGCTGGGTCCTCCGGCACAGGGTGAGGCACAGCGGTCACTGAGGGCGGACGGGGTCAGGCCCTGGTTGGGGCTGTGACTGCTCATCCTCAGGGCAGGCCGCCAGGAGGAGCTCCCCGGGAAAGGGCCCTGAGTGGGGAGGGGGGCCCAGTGCCCGCCCAGCACTGCCCAGCCCTCCACAGCTGCCTGGCCCGGAGGCCCCAGGGCAGACCGCAGGGCAGCGCCTCCTCACTGTGGCTGCTGCCCAGTGCCAGGGATGGGGAGGGGGCTCAGTGTGGCACAGGCGGGTAGCGAGTCAGAGGTCAGGTAGCCGGGAGCCAGGGCTGCAGCAGGCCTGGCATCTCCAGGGGCCCCACACCCATGTCCCTGCGCCCTGGTGATGTCCCCAGAGTCAGGGCCAGGGTCCCTGAGGCGAGGCCCGCCAGCGTCACCTGCTGCCAGAAGCGGAGCCTGGCTTCCCCAGAAACTCGCTGTCCTGGGTTCAAGAAGCGCACAACATCTGGGGCAGTGCCAGGAGCTGGCACCGAGGGCTCGGGGTTGCCTGGCAGCCGGAGCCAACAAGAAAAGACTCCCCGACCACAGAACCTGTGTGACAAATTCAGAGCCAGCAGATGCGTCACCGGGAAGTCACCTCTGGGCCCCTGCCAGGAACCACGGGGCTGGGCGGCCACGTCTCCAGGGAAACCAGATGCAAAGGGG